GGTCATACCATAAAAGGGAAAAGGCAATTTTCAGGGTTGTTTTTTTTTAATCCAGTTCTCAAAAGACTCTTACCTCCTTTTTCTTCTAGGTCTGCAGTTTTGCAAAGAGAATTTCAAGACAAAGAAACACTAGTCAAATTTAATGTTTTTAGTAGGTTGTGGTGATATAAACCATGATACATTAAAATAAAAAAAATAAACCTTATGGCAATTATTATTTTAAATCTTTCATGGAATCTTATCAATGCAAGGGATATAGTTTTATATAGTTAGATAGAAGACACAGAGAGAGAGAGAGAGAGAGAGAGAGAGAGAGAGAGAGATAGTTAGTTAGTTTAGATTTTTATTTTATAGATAAGTAACCAAGTCCCAGAGAAATGACATACACAGAATAGCTCAGCTGGCTAGTGACAGAAATGAGAGTAGAACCCTGCTTTGGCGCTCTCAGACTTAAAATTTTTATTTTTTTATGTCTGAATTCAATATGCATAGCAGTACATGATCATCAGATTTTATTTTTGTTCTTCTAGTGTATGCATCTAAGTAGCAGCCTACTGAAAATATTTGCCATCGTGCCTTTCCCACTTTTAACTTCCACCCTCTCAATGCATTTCCTTCCCTGGAAGGCGGCTTTTTATAATTTTCCGTTTAAGTGTCTCTGGGACTTTTGTCTCCGTAGGTAAACATTATCTTGTTGGCAGTACTGCAAGGGGGTAGGGATTACAGTGACTCAAATTAGTCGTTGCTGATCATTTCTTAGGCTCATTCCTGTATATACGTTGACAGTTTCTTTAATGCTGTTATGGAATTCTTTCTTTAATGCTGTTATGGAATTCTATCAGAGCATTTAAGCTGAGAACTCTGGGCCTGGTTCAGTTAATGTGTTAATAAACTTAGATTTCTGACTGATATTTCATGAGATAATTTGATCAAGCACTCAAAACTGAAACTAGAGCAAATATCTTCCTTAGTTAAGATCAGTTCATTTCCTAAGCCTGTGTAACTCTAAAAGACCATCAGCCCTTTTAGGGTGTGATGGCAGCATGCTTTCTTATTAGCAAAGAGGTCTTAAGAGTTCCCTTTTTCAGACACAGCCCATGCACAGATTTGTTGCTTGGAGCTTTGTTAAGATAAGCATAGATAAAGTGTTGCATGCCAGCAAGATTAAGTTACAGATCTAGAGCTTGAAGGAACCTCAAAGGCCATCTTGTACAGCCCCCTCTTTTTACAGATGAAGAAACTGAGCCCCAGGGAGGTTAAGTGATTTGCCCAATGCACCGTGGGTAGAAGTAAAATCTGAACCTAAGTCATACTGTTGTTCCAGAGGCAGTGCAACCATCCCTGTTTTTGAAAAAGACTAAATAAAAGTAGCCTGGAATTCACTTCTTTCTAAAGGGTATGGAACGTTTCACTGCTTTTCAATTAGAGTATGCACAAAATAATATTACTTCATTTTTCAATAACGTTATTGACACATTATAACTAAACCTCACTTTAATGTTTAAACTCCCAAGCCATATCATCATCAAGGGATGTTAATTAGGTGATCTAACACTGCAACTTTCTCCTTGTAATGTTGTTTTTCCTGACATGTGTTTTAAGAATCAGTGACATGAGATGGGATATACCTGTGTTGTTATTATATCATGAATCAGTGAAGAAATATATTTTGTTTTCAGAAATCTGAAATTGGCTGTTTCATAGGGATTAGAGGTAGGAGGGACCTTAGAAATCATCCAGCCCTATCATTTTACAGTTGAGGAAACTAAGGCCTACTTAACAATTTAACAAATATTATTGAATTAACAATTTAATAATTAGGTATTTAATAAGTATCTAATTATATTATTAAGTACTTTCTGTGTGCCAGACATGGTACTAAGCACTTTATAAAATATTATCTCACAAAAGTCCCAGAAAGTTGGTACTATTACTATCATCCCCATTTTACAGTTGAGGAAATTGAGGCAAACACAGGTTAAGTGACTTGTCTGAGGTCAAATATGAGGCTGGATTTGAACTTAGGTTTTCCTGACTCCATCCACTGTACCACTTAGTTTACCTGTAGGTGGTAAGCAAAAGAAGCAAAATTGAAACCAAAGTCTTCTAACTCCAGATCACCAAGTATTTTTTAGACCTGCTTTTACCTCCAAACTTCTTATTTTGTAGCATAGTACACCTTGTAATCTTCCAACCAAATGCCTGTGTAAAAATTTTTGCAAATAAGTTTATATTTTAAACCTGTGTCGCCCTTGGCTGCAGTGTCTTTCTGCTTGGCAAGGAAAGCACTTTTTTTTTTCTCACTGAAGTGGGTCCTGGCCTCTATGACCTTCCTTGTTGTGGCAATTCCTTTATATAATTTTAACTTCTGTAGGAAATCACAGTAGTCTGTAGCAATGTCTTTTTTGATTTCTTTGTTTTTCTTTCTTTCATGGGTTGCCATGGCAAAAAAATTCATCCCTAAGTGGTAATGACCTTCTGCATATGTAGCTGTGTTGTTCTTCAGACAACAGACTCAATCTCTCACTAGGATTATGCTCAAAGCATCTAGACCTCTTGATTTTACTTTGAGTGCTTCTTATTCTCTTGTCAAAATAGGACCCTGTGCATTTGGTTTTGGACCTAAAATGTCCATTTATCAGAAATAAGTTGTTAGTCTAAACAAGGGTTCTTTAGCTTTTTTCTCTTTGTGGATTGCTTTGAAAATCACTTGACAAAACCAATTAATCTCCTCAGAATACTATTGTTAAATGAATAAAATACATAGGATTGCAAAGGAAATTCGTTTATTAAAATGCAGCTACCAAACTCACCCATCCCCCTTAAAAACAAACAGGGTTCTCTAAGTTGAGAACCCTGGCTCTAGAGGAAGACTGATGGAAGTTTGAAAGCAAGGAATCTTTAGATTCTGGAGAACAATCTAAGGAGTATGATAGCTATCTTTAGGTATTTGAAGGGCTGTCACAGGAAGGAGAGTGAGACTTGTTCAGTTTGGTTCTAGAGGTAACAGCCAAAGGCAATGATTGGAGGTTGCAAAGAGACAAATTTTGGTGCCATATAAGAAAAAACTTTATTTTTTTAAAGCATCTAGAGCTTCCCTAAAATATAATAGACTGTCACAGGAGATAGTAGATTCCCCTTCATAAAAGTCTTTAAGAAAAAGCTGACTAATTATCTGGTATACTGTAGTGGGAATCTTTTTTGGGTGTAGGTTAGACTGGATGGTCACTGAGTTGTCCCTTTGTGTCTAAAATATTCTCATTCTGTGTCTTCCTTAACATTTCCCACCTGGCAGTATTAGATTAATTCATGTTGATGGTATTTTTTTCTTACTTTCTTTTAGCAAATTGATGGAGAAGCATTTCTGCTTATGACTCAAACAGACATTGTTAAAATTATGAGCATTAAGCTGGGACCAGCTCTAAAAATCTTCAACTCCATCCTGATGTTCAAAGCTGCAGAGAAGAACTCACATAATGAACTTTGAGGACAGTGAAAGCCACATTTCATCCTTTTTCTGCTTTAAAGCTCATGTCTTATTCAAAGCACAAGGACTGTTGTAGCTGTTAAGTAAGAATTCTTCAAAGTCAAAAATCAGTGCTGCCGGATTATTTATATTCATTGAGAGACAATATACATGAATTATTATAGAAGTGCTTGGGTTTTTATTAAGGTACTGTAACAGATATCATCTTTTAGTTCTATTCATTGAGCTAAATTTACCTTTGTAAACCTTTTTGAGGCTTCAGAAAAAAACACCATTGTTGATTATTTATGGTATAGTAAGATTGGGAGGGACGGGGAATTATGAACTTTCTGCATTTTGTAAACATCGTTGAATTATCTTTCACGTACACTGTTTCTTTTTCAATATTTGCAGAAACCTCTTTTTATACAATCAAAATAAAATGAACTTTAAACCCAGTTAGCCAAAATCTGGCTATGAGTTTAGCCAGTTGGGACTGTTATAACTATTGTTAATTTTGTGCCATATTTTGAATTGCAACATTTATGCTGAGTATAACTTTGCAAGTCATTAAATTGCCTACTTGCTTGTAATAATTCATTGGGGCTGAACAGTTGTAAAAATTAATTTTTTAAGTAAATCAGTGTTTTTACTTTTGCACGACTTATGAAATGTTAAGCAAATTGCTTTTTCACCAGCGTCTTTACTGTATTTACCAAAAGACCAGTATATAAAAGACTGAAATTGAAAAAAAAATAAAACTTTACCTAATGTATTTGAATGGCATCAATCTAATACTCCACTCTAGTACCCCAGGGGTTTGTAGGAGTCAACTGTTATCAAAGAGTAAATGAAGTTGTAGTATTGGGACAGTTTTTAAAAGGATCTGTAATATTTTCATGAGACTTAAGCTCTTCTCTGAGTCATTGATATAACCGTGGTGCTTAAAGGAGATGAAGGTCCTAGTGCTTAGGAGAAATATGCTATCCTTTGAAAAAGACCTATATCTCCCTTCTTTCAACAGTCCTCCGCCCCAGGAGGATTCCTTCAGGGTCAGCTGAGGAGAGAGAGAGAGAGAGAGTACTAAGAGATTTTGCTAGAAAGGGAAGGTATGGGAGAAATACTCATGGAGTCATTGGATGTGTTCAGGAATCAAGAAGATGAATTTCCAAAGCGGTTATTTGGGTACACGTATAAAATGCCCTTCTTTTTGGAAGGACTGGTTTTTTTTCTACAAAACTCTTTGCCAGGTGTTAAGACATTGCACTCAATATATAATGGTACAGAACAGATGCACTTTAAGTGAGAATACTCAACTACCTATAAACTGAGAGCTGGTGTAATGTTTTATTTTATGAGGATGCACTTCGCAGGAAGAGGATGAACAGCTTCATCAGCTTTTCACTGCAGTTTCTAATTCCTTGGAATGAAAAATTGTTCAAAGTACATTTTTGTTTGAGATATCAAGTAGCTTTGTAGCATGCTGTCTTAACTCTGGGGAACTTCTACCTCTCTCTTTAGTTGGTCTCATATCTTCTAGTATAAAATTTTCTTTGATATCTCCAGCGCTGCTAATATAGTACTTCCTTTGAAGACTTCTGAGGGGGTCTCTTAGCAGCCCTTTTCATCTGCTATAGTACAAGGTAAAACAGGGTCAGTGAAATAGCCTGCAGTACCCCATTCATTTCCTTGCATGAATTTGCATCAATGACTTTTTTTTAAAACATTTTGTTCAGAATTTGTACATTCAAATTACACTTGTTATATCTTCTGACATGAAATAAAATCTGAATTGGAGACGCCTTTTCACATTTGTATGCTTTTTAAGAGAGGTTGTCACAGCAGAAGAGCAGGAACATGCTGTGGAGATGGAAGACTGATGGCTGGGTCACAAATCTAAAACCACTCCCAGTTGTCTGTCACACTGCCTATACTTAAGTGATGTGCTCTTCTACTCTAATCATAGGCAGTGAAATTGATCCACCTGGCGGGCTTTCTCTGTGGCTTAAAGACATTTCAGAAACGGCTTCTTATTCCAAAGTTTCATTTATTCTAATCGGTGTTTTGTGACTCATCTGACTCATCAAGGTAGCACATGCACTTTAAGTCCATACATCTCCTTAGCAGTGCTGCAGGATTTGGGATGTCTGAAGAAAGGGGAATACGGGGAGAGGAAACAGAGAGACTTCACTTCCTTCAGGATCTACTTTGACACATTTTTTCAGAGAGGAAACGTTAACAGGAAGCACCAAGCACCAGAGAGAAACCAGATGAGTCAAGTTCAGCCACAAAAGCTGGCTGGCATTTCCATTCCTTTGCTGTGGCCTTCAGTTGTTATATACTCAGCATCCCTCTGTTTCCACCTTCATCTCTTTGGATAGGGACATTAGGCCCCAGCTCATAAGAATGAAGGGCTACCTAGAGCCCTGGCCTCAAACATGAAGAATCCCCTGCTCTGGAAGTCTACATACTGGTTAACAAGGTAAACTGGGGGAAGAGGATTGAGATACATGGATGTCTTTGACAGGAAAGGTAAAACAAGGTCAGTGGAAAGAGTTTGCAGCATCCAATTCATTTCACTGCACAGATGTCAGTGAGGTTTTTTTTGTTTTTTACATGTTCAGATTTGTATACTCAAATAACTGCTTTTATAGATCTGCGGACACATAAAATCTGGAATAGTAGGGTCCTGATGAGAGTGAAACAAGAGAAAGTGAAGATATTGTCATGGAGGGACAATAAAAAAGTGTATTAGGAGCAAAGGGTAGCCTGTCATGATAATATATTGCAGACAGTGTATATATTCTGTCTTGGAATAACCAAATAAGATTTAACTTGGGGATGGTGTGCAGGGTGGGGGTCCATGAATAGATTACAAAGGGTCAGTGATCTTGGATGAAAAAAAAAAGATTGCATCTTCATTTCAACATGACAGTTTTCTTTATGATCCTCTGCATTTTATTTTATGCATTTGCAAACATCATTCTGAGAAGGGACCTGTAGGATTCACCAGCCTGTTAAAAGGGGCTTTGACACAAGAAAAGTTATTAAGAACCCTTGAATTAAGGGGTGATTTGTAGTAGATGTATCTTCTCAACAAGAATCAGTGACTGATACTTTCATCTGAAATATCTCATGATTAAGTTATTAGGCAAAGACCTTTTTTAGAAAGAATTGATGATTCTCTTAATTGCTTAAAGCAGTTTTATACTTATATTGCAAGGACCTGTGATTTTTGTTACCATGGGCTCTCCCAACATTGATGTATGCTACAGCCTTCCTTTGACTTGGTAGATGATTTTTGAGAGTTGGTATGGCTGAATAATTCATTACTCCTACTGAGAGTTGACCAGTGATCACTCATCAACCTAGTGATAGGTATCTCCAGACTCAGAATGGTCCATCACTGACTGGGCTTGTGCTCTGCTGGCTTAACCTTTGAGAACTCAGGGTCCCTTGAGTTTAAAAGCAATCATAATGATACAAGATTTGTCACTACAATCCAGTGAAAGAAGTCCTGAATATCTGTTATTTCCTCCAAATTTCATACATTTTATTTCATCTTTTCAGCCTAAGAATTTTTTTAAATTAGTAAATAAAATCTAATTCAAGGGTTTGTAAATCTAATCTAAAGGGACTGTTAACTTGTTTTCAATATTTGATAATTATTTCAATGCAATTGGTTTCTCTTGTATCCTTTGTATTTTATTTTATGCATTTAAGAACATTAAGAAAGGACCCATGGGTTTCACCAGACTACCAAAGGGGATCTGTGATCCAGGAAACGATGTTTATGACACATTCAAATGTGTAAATCACATTTCAAAACAGTTTTGCATCTTCTTGTTAGTTACAAGGTAGTAACTAACAATACCATTTTTGTAATAAAGAGGAAATGTCAGAAATTGTTTTCCTTGGTGAAATATCATTTTTTTAAAACAGTGAAAATACATTAGTCCTGGTATATAACCTCCCACTCATCACCCATCTCCAACAAATATAATCTCAGAATTCCTTATAAGCAGTAACAAAATGGAGGAGAAAGGAAGGAAACCATTATTCCAAACAAATGCATTAGACTATGGACAACATCAGGCTGTGGGTATAGGAACAGCAGATGAAGTCAGGGCAGGAGAGGAGGGATAGGCATAGGAAAAAATCAAACTGGTAGCCGATGTGGAAGTGGGATTGGGAGAGAAGAAAGTCTATAAGGTAGGGACACATAGTTAAGGTATATCAAGACAAGAGAGTAGGTTGAAACCAGTTAGGCAGAGCAGAATTAAGGACATACATAAATATCAAAAGTCCAGTAGAACGACAGGATGCTGGGTCAGGAAACGGGCAGATAAACAGGAGCTCTCAATTTCACAAGAACTAAAAAGTACCACAAGGCAGAGGAGTTACGCTTCCAGGAAACAATTCAGAATCCAAGTATACCACGTGAACAACAGACATGCCAACAAGGAGACCTCAATGCAACTCAGTTCAACAAACATTTATTAAGCGCCTAATGCGTGCAAGGTATAGAGATACTAAGACGAAACAACATAGTGCTTGCACTCAGAGAGCTAACAATATAGTAATGGGGATATGACACGTATAATGTAGACATATAGCTTATACAAGACAATGTGGTAATCTTGCTAACAGCGACAGCTCAGGCAAGGATCTCTTATGTGTTTCCTGTTAAGACAGGCATCAAATTCCATGGTAAGGAGAGTGAAATAAGTTTGCATGGCCGCAGAGTGAAAGAATAGAGAGGGCAGCAAACCTTGACACAAAAGATATTTAAGGTAGAAATGTCTTCAGGGACTCAACTGGTCAGAGAAGAGAGCTGGCCTTGGAACCAGGAGGACTAAGTCCCATCTCTTACACATAGTGTCTTTGTGAATCTGAACATTAAGCATCTCAGGGCTTTAGGCAACTCTAAGATTATAAGTTACAAAGGAAGTGCTGGCTGGCTTTGGTAGAGAGCCTGGGAGCTCCCATTGATGAAGTCACTGATCCACTCCCTGCTACTGTCGATGGCCACGTGGTGAGGGATATAATATTTAGGTAGTCTTCATGTTCTATCAGCATCTTCATGATATGAGAACTTAGAGAAAGGCCAATGCCTGAACCCTCTGCATTGAACCTGAAGGAAGGCATGGATAAGCGAGGGTGATACAGCATGACCAGTCATGTAGGTGAGAGGTGGAGGGTGGCAATCTGCATCTTTGGATAGAATACCCACCTCAGTGAGTCACATTTACATCGGAGTTTTCTTTTATAATTCAAACTTTTAACAACAAGCTTGGTTAAAATTCAGCCTGAATATAATAATATTTCTTTGAGATCAGGGAAATGAGGCCCAGACAAGTGCTGTCCAAGGTCACACAGATAATAAGCAGAAAAACCAGGATTCAAACTCAGGTCCTCTGCCTCTAAATCCAGCTCCCTTTCCACTGTGTCATGCTGAGGTAGGCTTGTCATGTAGCAAGAGGGAGTGATAAGATGGGACAGTCTAAGTGATGTGCTAATATACACTGCAAGGAAAACCTAAAGGGAAATCTCCAGCACATTGGATCAGTTCCCTGTGGAATGATACAGACAAGAACTGCACAGAATGAGAAGGCATTAGGTGGTTTGCAGTCTGTAGATGAGATCCCAGAGTCATTAAAGTATGGAATGTCATTAAAAAATTACCTTAATCTTTTAAATTGTAAGAAAAAATGAATGAGGCGTAAAACTCAGATACCATGAACACTTCTCTAATATAAATATACATAGTCAACAATACTCTAGTATCTGCCCCCTGCACAACAAATCGATCTACTTTGAAAAGAAAGTTTCACAGGCATTCCTAAGACAGTACTTTGGGTGTTATTAAATGAGTGGCTGTTGAAGTTCTTCATTATTTCCCATTTCTCTAATAGAAGGAAAATGTGGACTGCTCATATCAAAGATCAGCGTGTCTAAAAAGTTCAGTGTGTGATACAACCTTCTTGGGTACTGCACACCAAACACATGAAATGCAGCTATGAGAACAGCCAGGGCCATGGTGCAGTCATCCACTTGGGTCAGTTTTTCTTTTTCAAGGTACAGAGTAAATTCACAAGCATTGATGTTGAAAGGGTTTTTAACTTTTAAGACTGGTGTTGACACTTGCACCTAGAATAAAAAAAGTAAGTGAGTATCACTGTGTGAAGGTAGTAAGCCATATTGCAATCTGAACTGGATTATTATAGGAAACAAGTTTAGCATTATTAAATTTGGCAAAATAAATTCCCTAGAATGAGAGGTGGTTTTAATTACTTGTTTCACTTTCAAGCAATGATTCTCAAGCTTTTTTTAGTTTTTTAGTTTTCAGAACCCTTAAATTAATTTTTAAACTCTTAAAAAACCTTGAGGATCCCAGAGGGCTTAGTTTATATGGGTTATATCTATCTATTATATGTGTCTTAGAAATTAAAACTAGTAAAATTTTAAAATATTAATTCATTAAAAATTAACACTTATGTAACGTGTAATAACATACATAGTAGGTTCACTATATGTTAACACAAATATCTTTATGAAAAATAACTATTTTCTAAAAGCAAAAAAAATAGTGAAAAGAGGGGCATTGTTTTACATGTTTTTTTCCAAATGTCTTTAATGTCAGGCTTAGAAGACAGCTGGATTCTCTTATTTGCTTCTGCATTAAATCTGCTGCAATATGTTGTTTTGGTTGAAGCATATGAAGAAAATCCAGCCTCACACAGACCTTTAGTTGGAAAAAGGAGGAGTATTGTAATAGACAAATAATGTCTTTAAGGATCATGCATATGGAAGGAGAGGCAGTATTCTGTAGTGGATAAGGCATTGCATTTTGAGTTAGACTGGGTTCAAATCCCACCCCTTACACTAGCTGCAAAACCAGAGACAAGTCACTTAATCTCTCTATTCATCTATAAAATAAGAGTTGAATTCCGTGGCCTCTTAAGGTTTCTTCCAATTCTAAATTGAAGAGCCTTTGAATCTGTTGAAACAATGACCTAAGCAAGGCTTCAGCTGAGAACCAAATCTAAGATCCTCTCATTCTCAATGTCCAATTTCCATCTAAGAAACTGATTTTGCAAAATGGAGTGAAATAAAGTTTTGTCTTTAAAATAACAATAGAGTCAGTCAGTAAACTTTACTCTGAAAATATGCCATTATTTTAGCATAACTGATGTTTGTTGACATATTTGCATACCTCTTCATTCACAACAGCAAATAGGGTGGGATCATCACCAAAAACATCTGGTAGAAGTAAACATGTGGCTGTCATCTTCATATCTGTCAAAAGCAAACATATTTGTAATCCAAATGAAAACAAAATAGACATTCTGCATTCAAATTTCTAGGGTTTTATTTTCTTGAAGTCTTTTTTTTGGGGGGGAGGGCAAAGAGGCAACAATTCTTTAAAGTTTCATCTACTCAGTTCTTTCATGAAATGCATCATAATCCACTTAACCTGATTGGTTAAATTGTGCCTGATTGGTACTGCACGCTGTGTCACTAATACTCTCCCAGGCTGTTTTTACTAACATTTTAGGATGTCTTCATCTGTAAACTGCTTCATTCTCTCATGCAACATAGCTGTGATTGGATTTTCCACCACTGAAAAAGAGGTCAGTATGTTTTCTGAATAGGTCTCCAAAATCTGTCGTGTTTTCTTATAAATGTCAGTTCTGGTGAGCAGCTGGAATTCTCTGAATAGCTGACAAAAGGGAAAGACAAGGTAATATTAATAACAAGGAAAGCCGGTCTAATATACAAAACTGAGAAGCTGATTTTTGGAATCTTATTAATTTTCAGCTACTGATTTGAAATCTCAGCAGTTTCCACTAAAGTCTTCCTCCATAACTTCATAATATGCAGAGTTCTCAAAAGCTTTTTCTGCAAGGCACAAACCCTGGTAGATCTTACCAAGCAGGGGACCTGGTGATAAACTGTATGTTGTCTAAGAGCCAGGCTAGTTAAATTAACCCCTTTTTAAATCCAAGATCCACTGGCATGAGAGGGGCAATGGACCAAGGAATATGCTAGCTCTTTCAAGACCCTAAGTCAGAATATAACATGGAATTGTTTTAATGGATAAATTTCTGAAAGGATTGTCTCTACTCAAACATGATATCATCCTGTTTGGATGGACACCTACTAACCTTCCCATGTTCATTTGGCAACATGTTCATATTGAATCCTACCTTCAATTGTAGCCAAATTTGTGGCAGACTTTCCAGTTATTCTCCCAACCCATATGTCAGAAACCCATTGAGGTTAGAAGCTATAGCAGCCTAGGAAATATTGAGTCCACTTCTGTCACCTGGAGACTGAGCTCAACTCAAATAGGGAAAGTGGATGAGTATTAAGATTTCCTGGAGAGGAATATGAACAGAGTTCTTCACTTATTTAATCCAAGAGGTGAGTTCTTGAACAATGTTGTTTGTGATCCTTAGCCTCCTAGTTAGAAGCCTGGGGTTTCCTGGTTAATTCAATCCTGGAATCTAACATTTTAGCCAAAGAAGAGGGATTTTGTGGGATGTGCAAACCTCACACTGTAAATAACCCTGAGTTCAAGAGTTCTGGGAACTAGCTTCCTCTCAAGGTAATGGAAATGTCAGCAGAACACCTCTGGTCAAGAGAAAAAGATTGAACATAGGATTCTCAGTGCTCAGAGGAGCATGACAAGGGCTTAAGAGCACGATATGAGGTGCAAGGGATTTGGACTCTGCAACCCATTAATATAGTGAGTTATCTGGATAGTGTGGGTTCAATAGGAACAGGGCTTGCCTGTCTAGGAGTCTGCTCCCGAGTGTATTTACCTTCAAGGGAAGTTCCAACTCTCAGGGCAGTACCATAATGTTGGATGTATATTTATAGATCTCTATGGGGTTTAAAAGAGATTCATTGAAATGTTGAGGTGTTGACCAGTTAGCAGCTTCAAGTTCAGGCCCCTTTCAAGGGCAATCTGAGTTTGGTGGACTTTAGGACCTTGCGGAGGAAAAAAATGTCAGTCCTATTTGATTGGAAGGAAAATTGAAATGATTTTTTTTATGGACTACTGTTAGTAAACAAGTTTTTATTAAGCATTAACTTTGTGCCAGGGGATGGGCACCCAAGAAAAATAAAAAAACAATGGCTCCATTATATTTTCTGCATTTTTTATTTTCTGCATTGTCTCTGCAAATGTTTATGTAAGTCCTTCGCATCTCCTGCGCTTTTTGGTGGGAAGAAAAAAAGGCTGCCTTGTACCTTATATTTGTGTTTGATACTTGAAAACTTGTACAGGATGTGGGTTTCCTTTAACTCATGTATGTCAAAAATTAGATGTAAAGTATATTCAGAGGCTTTCCCAGAGTAAATCTGGATAGGGGCATAACAAGCCAAAAGAAAGGGATTTTTTTAGTTTACTTCCCGCAATCTGACCCATTCTTTGCAAGGCCAGAACTTAGTAAACCCACATATAGGCCTGCTTGCCACCATAGCCAGTAGTCCTGCAAATGTAATTTCTCCTACCCATCTCTAGACGGATAAATCCTCACCCTCAAGATCAAACAGCTAGGTTCCTCCCTAGTGACAAATAAGTGGCTGAAGTCAGGTCAAGTTCAAATGTGGCTTCAGACACTAGCTGTGTGGCTTAGGGCAAGTCACTTCTGTCTGCCTTAGTTTCTTCAACTATAAAATGGGGACAACAATGGCACCTATCTCTCAGGGTTGGTATGAGGCTCAAATGAGATAAAATTTATAAAACACTTAGCATAGTGCCGGGCACATAGTAGGTGCTTAATAAATGCTTATTTTCTTATTCCTCCTCCTTAGTGTAGGTCCCAGCTACAATGGACTTGGAGGTCATTTATAAATGTTTGTCATCTCAGCTCTGGTCCAGAGAAAGGAAGTACCCCATATTCCAAGCTACTTGAGTTATAGTCAAAACATTAAATACCCAAGTTAGTCTATCAGAGGTCCCCAAACTTACTTGGCCTACTGCCCTCTTTTTTAAAAAAAATTACTCAGCTCCACCCCCCCCAATCTACTTTCTTTAATCCTTAATGGTTTTTTTTTTGAAATATGCATCATTTTAAAAAGATCCTGCCCCCTGGATCATTTCAGCACCCCATACTTTGGGAAACCTATGGATCAATGGCCTCGGGAACTTGCCCCAGTAGGTCTCTTCGGAAAAATGTGCAAAGTACTCAGTCTGAATATAACATACTCCTTCTTGTTCTCAGTAATGCTGGGAAATCAGGAGACTGGTTTTGTCTTACCTAGGCATATATGAGACATGAAGGAGCTACGTAACCCTACTGAATGTTACCTAGAAAGATATATGCTGCATTTGGCCATAGCCTAGGGTCAAACTCTGAGCACTAGCTCTTACCCCAGGAATGGTACTGTGGCAATACTTTTAGCACAGCAAGAGCAAAGAAATTGCCAGGCAGAGACCATACAGTTGTATGATCAGCCTAGCTCTGGGAGGACCATTTTTGGTTTTCCTGATTCTCCAACTTCCCACAGGAGCCTCATTGCTGTTTGTTGGGAGAAAACATAGGGAATTTCAATTCTGCCATGACTATGGATACATGAGTTCCACTACTAGCAGGAACTGGTATCCATAACCTTTGATATCTGACACAATAGACCATTTGGAAAAGGAGGTAATATTCGCCAAAATGGGCCTTTAGTCACTGTAATTCTGGTCCAGATAAGAAAAAAATGAAAGCTGGAATTGGAAGCCAGATAACAACAAATAAAAATAAAATATCTGCCAGAATTTCTGTAACAGCCTATTTTCTTCATTCAAGGACAGTGGAACCATCATATTTGAACTTTAAAATCTCAAGCCCCAATGTGCTAAATGAAGAATTAGAAATGGCACTAATGAATACAAAGATGAAAAAAGCATCTGGACCAGAGGAAACCCATATGGTGAAAGTGGATGGGGAGGGGGTGGGGAGAGTGAATTGAGAAGCTATTTCTTAAGATAACTGAGAGACAGGGAGATATTTGGGGATAGGGAAAACATCATGGGTAGAATTACTACTGAAAAAGGTGACCTGAAAGACAAACTACAAGTCTACTTATCTCAGTAAAATTTTTGTAGCAATGTGCATGTATCATTGATGAAAACATAAGAAGGGAAGTAAGCTTCTGCAGCCAAATATTCTATGGCAGGCCACATCTTCAGTCACATAACTGACTGAGGAGTATAATATACAAGATTATTGGTTTGTTAATTAAAAAAAAAAGAAAGTTGACTAAGTAGAACAAAATACACTTTTAAGGGTCTCCTCCATTAAGATGTTTCCCTTACATGCAAGATTACTTTAGTGATTTAACAGAGAAGACTATGTAGAAACTTCTTCCTGCTGTCTTAACAATCAATTAACTCTAACTCTAACCCTAACCCTAAATGCACATGATTTCTTTCTAAATGCCCGCCATTTATTCCTAACCCTAAGCCTAATTGCTTAGGGTTCCTAGATTTTGACAAAAAACAGAGATCTAGAGGAAAACAGCAATAATCATAAAGTTCATATTAAAAAACAAGACAAAAAAGTAATGTATTTTTGCCTCTTAAAATATTTTCTTTTTTCATATTTAATATTTTATTTTCTCCCAATTACATGTAAAACATTTTTAATATTCTTTTTTCAAATTTTCAGTTCCAATTTCTCTACCTTCTTTCCTACCATCCTCACCCATTAAGAAGGCAAGCAATTTGACATAGGTTATCCATGTGCAGTCATGTAAAACATACTTCCATGTAAGTCATGTCTTAAGATATTTTCAGAAAATAATGCCAATCTACCCACTGGAAATTTGGGAGGTTTCACCTACTGCTGCTTAACAACTTTGTCAATCAAATTTATTACCAGATTATTATCACAACACTAATGATTTCTTTTAATATCTCTTACTATTAAAATCACACTGAGTGAAAATAATGTATTTAAAGGATGTCTCAGCAAATTCATTGGGAGGAATATCTGACATATGCTTGGACTTTTTAATTTATGTTCATACACGTAATAGAGATCTGTAACAGACATCTGTGGTATTCATTACCCTGGCATACTCTGAGACCACTAATTTTAAAAAATGTTTAGGGGAAGTATAATGGAACCATCTCATCAAATCATAATTGAGGAAAATGAGGCTTTGGAGGAGAAACTATAACATCGTTAATCTGAACAAGATCCAGGGGGTTGATAATTGCAAGATCAGCGGGGCAGTCAAAAGAGTTTATTCACTCGTGGGCTTCAACTAGCTAAAGTAGAGGGTCCAGAATGAGTGAAGTCTCACTAACTGTACCCTAGTCAGATTATGTTTTAGTTCAGTTCTGGGCACCACAGTTTAGAAGGTGACACTGACAAAGTTGGAGCATATCCAGAGGAAATTAACTGGGGTGAAGAGGAGATTCAAATCCTCCTATGAGAAGAGGTTGAAGAGAAATCCATTTGAAGGATTGCCATATACAAGAAGTAACTGGGATTATTCTGCTTGACCCAAAGGACAGGACTAAGAATAAAGGGGTAATTTATAGGGAGATTTCGGCAGCTCTTAGAGCTGTCTTGGGAGCACGGTGAGCCTCTCGTCACTAGAGGTCTTCAAGTGAAGGTTTGGTGACCATTTGTTTGGGATGTTGCTGAAAAGATTCGTTATTTAGGTGGGAAGTGGTGTAGTTGGCTTCTGAGACCTCTTCTGCTTCTTGAGTTTCTAAGATAAAGCGTCTGTTGACCTCCCCAATTACAGGCGTGGGAATCAGCCATGAAACTGAGCAGGCAGTAAAATGTGGACATCAGGCCACAGCTTCCCTATCATGGCTTTAGATGATCAACAGTCAGCTTTAGGAGGCTCTATACTATTGCAGACCATGCTAAAACATGACCTCTGAAATAGTCCCAGTGAATGACCTGTTTTGTAAATCAGACATCGCTGTTTTTGTACAACAAGCCAGTGGCTAACGGGAGGGTCCCAGAGTGGAGGCGAGGAAACGTTATTAAGAATATAATAACAAAGTATTTTGAGTGAGAAAATCTACCTGATAAGGACACTTCAAGAAAGGAAACATTTTGAGAATTTCCTTCAAAGGTGTCTTGTTGTTAATCATCTTTCTTCGAATTTCCAAAGTCTGGCTCATCCTGTTGTCAATTTCTACCCAGTTCTTTTCGGCTTTGACATATTCTTGATGGAACCAGTTAATATGTTCATCTGCCTCAGAATCTAAATAAACATCTTCTTCCTGCAAAATATTTACAAATCATCTGAGTTTCCAAAGGCAGTTTGAGACTTTAAAAAATAGCATTTACAATCTGTTCCTGCATACACTTAATAATGCAATAATTAGTTAAGCATTACTGTTAACAGTTTTACTTTGGCTTTTGAGGTAGGGTGCTAATAAACAGAATCTATTAGACTGCAAACAACCTGGCTAATTAGGCCCCATGACTGTGCTAATCTGTATTGTACAAGCACAAAGAGTTATTGCATCTCCCAAACCACTTCACTAGCAGTTAAACCAGATATTCCCAAAGCCCATAATTTTTCCCTTCTTCATTTAACTATTAGGATAAAAAGAGAAGACAAAAGAAACAGAGGTGAGAAGAGAAAAGAAAAGGAAACACTTCACAATGGTTTTTCCCTTTCAAAATAATTCCTGAGTAGATAGGTTCAACTTTGTATTGCATACATTCTACATTCATAATATCATAATATACAATAAGAATGAATGTTCAGAATGATGAATTTAAAGCATAGTGAATAATTCTGGACTTGGAATCAGCAAGAGCTGGGTTTGAATTCTGCCTCAGTTAACTTCCTGAGCCTCAGTTTCCTCATCTGGAAAATGGGGATATTGATACTCATACAACCTACCTCAGAGCTATTATCAGAAACAAATCTAAATATCCCATATAAGTGTGAGTTATTGTTATTTCACTCTTTTCATCTTTTTTTGTCGGGGTTTCAATAGAAACTGTCCTAGAATGTCATTATCCTGATCTTATCCCTTTGTATTCTGTTCTATGGACTACTGTACTGATATATAAAATGCCTGATTTTACATAGTTGAATAAAATATTAGGATGTAAGCTCATTTTCTATAGACTCACTGCAAGCATCCTCTCTACAACTCCAGCAGTAGACAAGATGAGAGGGATGTTATGTAACTTGTTCCCATATGATTTTTGTCTCAGCCAGATTTCTGAACTTTGGAAGCTTTCCAAATAGCTGGGAGATAATAAGTCTTTGGGATGGCAGCATCTATTAAAAAATATGGTCTCATGTTTTTATAAGTCAATGTCATATCCAGTCTATTATGGGCAACAACAGTTATTCTTTTAAATGATCTGATTCTAATTCCACTTACAGGTTTAGCTGTCCAGGAGTTTTTGTCTGTCAAACTATGAAAGATAGTGACCTGGTATATGACAGATGCTAAGCTTTTATAACCTGTCTTACATAGTCTTTAATGTTTCCTTGCATAACTTAAGATGATTACTGGATCATGGCACCCTAAGAAAAATTCTTCTGTAGTTTCTGTTGGCAGTGCCCTGAATTGCCATCATCATATACTGCAGCATTTCCAGAAACAAAGCTTTGTGATTTAGCAATTTTGTTCAACATTTCTTTTGTTGAGATACTGTTGGCTGAGTTCATGTGCGTGTCACCTACAGAGGTTTCTTCTGATTTGTCTTAGATTTTAGTTATTCCATAGGTTCAATCCATTCATCCAGAGGAAAGCCACTTATGGTTATATTGGATGAATTAATTTACATTATTACTACTCTTATCATTCTGAGATGCTGAATCAAAGAAAGATTCAATCATGTTCATTATAAATTGGGGGAAGGTTGCAGAAGACAGAATAATAGCATTCTAGTTAGCAAGCAGTTAAACTGAAAAATTAACTGGAATCCCCTATTCTCTATCTGTGTAAAATGAAGGTTTCATATACCAAGTTTTGGATTAACATTGAGAAGAAAAGGAGTCAATCTACCTAATAAAGTTATCAGCAGGCTCTTCTGGTTAGCTACAGAGCAGGTTAAAATGTCTGTCTAAATATGATGGCAAGTTCCTACTGCAAGAATTTAAAAAATATTGGTAGATGTTTGGCAATATAGCTTTTGCTAGGTACACAAGAAAACCCAGATATACTGATTGACCTGCCCTATCATGTGTGCAATTCATTCTCTCACATAATTAACTTATTCAACAAAGATTTATTATGCATAGAGGAAACTATGCTAAACACTAGGCCTACAAATGTAATGGGTACCTAAGTTTTGCCTCCCAAACTTTGTTCCTCACACTCCAGTGTTTTTAGTGCTTTTTTTTTTTTTTAAAGTGTGTATTAGTTTCAGGGTAATGGCAGTTTCTAGTCACTTGAATGAATGAGGGGAGTCAGGCAAATGATAAGAAGTAGGCATTTTTCTTCTAGCCCCAAGAGACTCAATGGGAGGTGTTGATCGTGTAACAAAGCACCTTAGGGCAGGGAAGAGGTCATTGGTATTCAGTGCCCCATCTCTGCTAGGAGCTAGGGCTAGACAATGTCAGTTGAAGCAGGGCCTTCATTGCAATCTTTTTATATCTTCCAAATCCCTTTTTATATCTCACAGCAAGGCAATCCTTTCATACCTCCCTAATCAATTCATTATCCCGGGCACCACATTGGCTCTTCTAAGCCTTTTCATCCCTCCTTCATCCTTCCATGGCACCTCTCCTCCTGTCATGTGCACTGAGGACTTAGCTTCATATTTCACCAGAACATTTGGGCCATTTAGCAAAGGTTCTCTTTTTTCCCCTCTTCCTTATTTTGTATTACTTATAGGTCTTCTCCAATGTCATCTTCTTCACTTGTCTCACACAAAAAAGTGGCCCTTCTTGTCAAGGCGAAGTCTTCTCTATTGATTTCTTTCCATCCCATATACTCTAACAGAGTGCTTCTTCTGTCACCCCCACTCAGATTTTGAGGCTCTCCCTATGTACTGGCTGCCTTCCTATCACGTACAAACGTGTCCATGTCTTCCTTGTCCTTAAAGAAAAAAACAAAACAAAACTCTAATTTGATTCAAACGCAGACTAGCTATTTATTCCATCTCTTTCCTTTTAAAGCAGTTCTACCTTCCGCTCACCCTTTAAAGTCCAATAAATAGTTCCTTTCTTCTCACTCTTCCAAGCCCTCTGCAGCCTTACTTGTGACTCCATCATCCAACAGACACTGCTTTTTCCAATGTTACCAATGATTTCTTCATTTCCAAATCTAATGGCCTTTTCTTGGTCTCCATCCCTCTTGAGATCTCTGTTATCTCTGACATTATTATTACTTTTTTTTTTACATTCCCTGCTGTATGCTCTCTCCTCTCTAGGTTTTTGTGACACTGTTCTTTCCTGGTTCTCTTCTTCTACACATCTGACTATTGTCAATGTCCTTTGTTGGCTTGCTCTAGGTCGAGCCCACTAGTCTTAAAGTTCTGTTGTCCTGGACCCTTTACACCCACTATAGGATCTTGCTTGGTGATTTCATCAGCTCCCACATCTCTTATCTTTATGCTGATGATTCTCAGTTGTCCTTATCCAGACTTAACCTCTCACCTAACCTTCAGTTTCACATCACCGACTGCTATTGGACATTTTAATTAGATGTCCTGTAGACATCTTAAACTTAACATGTCCAAAAGTGAAGTCATTATCTTCCTGTCTTCCCTTTGGCAGAGGCATCAAACACCTGCAGGGCTACATGCAGCTCATACCAGATTAAAATATATTTAGAAAATGTTTAATAAAATAAAATACAACAAAACATAGATAATAGTTAATTGTTTTCCAAACATAGTTAATATTCTAGGTAACCATGAACCCACAGGGATCCTCATGTACAGTTTGGTGGCCCTGGTTTCTATTTGAGTTTGACACTGCTGGCTTAAACCATGGGTCATGACCCCATATGGGGTCCCAAAAATTTTGGCAACAGTAAAAGGCTTCTGAATGCATAATGACCAAAAATTAATTAAAAATCAAAAGCATAATGAATCTTAAGTGTTTCTGACAGCATTTGCCTGTGTTGCATTGTGAAACTTCATTGCAGCTTTGGTTCTGAACACACATCATGTGCATTTTGCACCGTGCCTGCCCTCAGGCTGCACACAACATCAACTAATGCAGAAAGGGAAAGGGGTCACGAGTGGAAAAAGTTCAAGAAGCCGTCTTACAGGGCACCCCCATCCTCTCAGTCACTCAAGCTCCCAACCTTGGCCTCATGCTTGACTACTCATTCCTGCTCACTCTACATATCCAATCTGTGACAAAGCACTTGCCACTCCTACCTTCCCGACACCTCTTGTGTATGTCCTTGTCTATGCTCTCTTGACTTACACAGCCAACACCTTGCTGTAGACTCTCATCGCGTCACGCCTGAGCGATTGTCATAGCTTTCTGGTTGGTTTCTTTCACTCCAAATGTCTCTTCAGTCCAGTTCACGCTTCACTTAGCTGCCCAAATGAGGTCTGACCGCATCGCCTCTCATCCTCCACACAATAAACTCCAATGCTTCCCTGTGACCTCCAGGAGCAAATATAAAACCCTCTGCTTGGCTTTCAAAGGCCCTGCCTCCTTCCTACCTTTTCAGGCTTCTTCTACTTGGCTCCCGTCCATGTGGTCTCCAGTCTAGCCTCCCTGATGTTCCTCACACAAGACACGCCATCTCCCAGTTTTGGACGTCTTCATTATTTTCCCCCAATGCCTGAGATGCTCTCCCTCCTCACCTCTGCCTCCTGGTTCCCATAGCTTCATTCAAGATTCAACTTAAATCTCACCTATGGAAAGGGACCTTTAACAACCCCTCATCTAGTACCTTGACTTTGAGATTACCCACCATCGACACTTTCTATCTGTTATGTACATAGTTGCTTGCATATTTTTCCCTCCCCACAGGAGAATGCCAGCATCTTGAGGGTAGAGACAGTGTTTCTTATTCTTTGCATTACCCATATTTACCTGCACATAGTAAATGCTTCTTGGTAAGTGATAATAAATAATAAATGCATGGGGGGCAGCTAGGTGGCACAGTGGATAGAGCACCAGCCCCGGAGTCAGGAGGACCTGAGTTCAAATCTGGTCCAAGACACTTAATAGCTAGCTGTGTGATGCTGGGAAAGTGATTTAACCCCCACTGCCTCCAAAAAAAAAAATAATAAATGCATGATGACTTCCAGGTGATACAAGGAAACCTGAGAAGACACCTGA